TCTTTCCCCAAGAAGATTCCTCTGTCTCCTTCTATTGTTGTCTTCCACCAGTGGGTGAAGAAGACTTTTTTGGGTTTATTTGGTGTTGCCTCAATAAATCTTATTGGATCTCCTCCCAGTGTGTATATGTGTGTGTCAGTATCCCTCTAAGCTGAGTTAGTGTGAGCTAGCTCAGTGTTTTTTAGCCTCCGGCTCACAGATTTTTGTCTTAGTTCAGGAAGGATGGCTCCAGAGCAAACTAATTTATGCAGTAGCCAAATCGCTCACTCACAACTTTAATGCCAGTAGCTCACAAAGTAGAATTTTTGCTCACAAGACTCCACAGCTTAGAGGGAGCATTGGTGTGTGTATACATACACATGTGTGTATGTTTGTGTGTCTGTGTGTGTGTGTATTTGTATTTAAAATACTTTTTCATGTCTGAAATGTTTTAATGTTTGCCACCCTGAAGACGCTGAATTGGGTGGAAAGGCTGCATAGAAATGTTTTAAATAAATAAAATATAAATAAATAAACCAGATGCCATAAATAAAATAGAAATGTGTCAGAATGCTAGAGATCTGGGACTTACTCTTTCTGTCCCATTAAAATTAACAGTTTGTGAGTGGGTTGTGACATAATGTCCGTGGTAGGAATGAGCGGGTGACATTTTTTGTTCTCATTTACTCAGACTGCTTGACAGCTTTCCAGTGTCCATTGACTCTGTCCTCATATTGCTGCAAGATCCATGTCTTACCATGGTGAATGGGTTTAGCCCAAGGGGCCTTGAGGCAAGTCCTGGGCTAAAACATTTCTTAATGACAGTGGGTGTTATCTCTGTGGGTATTAATTGGTAGGAAACGGCTTTGTTCAGGTGGTGACCCCTTCTAGGTGAATTGAAGGTGCAGGTGAGTGTTTGTGTGTAGCTGAAGAATAGTTTTGACTCCGGAAGAGAGAGAGAGAGAAGGAAACAGATGCTGTGAGTTAGCTAAAATGTCTTAAGGTGTACGCACGTTCTCTCTCTCTCTTAGCCTCCACATGTGCTCTACTTGTGTACTGTTAGATAAACCAAATACTACAAAAAAAATCTGTAAGTCTCCACTCTGCCCTCCAAAAGGACCAGCCCAGGGGAAGGAAGAGCATTCACCTTGGAACTTCTTGCTGCTCAGAGAAGTGGGGAACATGTAATAATATTGCAAAGTTTCTTGGCGCTCAGAGTGCCACAATGGATGAGGTAGTCCTATTTCTCCCCTCACAACTATAGTTTTCTTGATTACATTGGAATTTTGCTTAATTATAGTCGATCTTGTATTTCCCGCATTCCATGGGCCTTGTTTATAATTAGTTTTTGCATCTATGTCTGCTGGGGTGGAGTGGGAGGGAAAAAGACATAGAACAAGGCCCCCACCCCACAGAGGAAGAAGGGACAAAGAGCATCTCCTTCACAATGTGGGGCTTGGACAGGCGAGACCCACCCTACCCTGTGCACCCTCTTCCCCATCCCACATGGGGTTCAGCTGGCCCTCAAGCCTCCTTCCCTGGCCTGCATGGAGTGGGTCTCTCAGTGGCTGCTACTACCCTGCACAAGGCAAAGACTGCCAAATTTGAGCTGGGTCATTGCCCCCCCGGGGGGGCTTTTCTTGCTGGGTGACTTGGGCCAGCCACACATTCTCAGCCTACCCTACTTCACAGGGGTGTTGTAAGGATAAGATACAGGAGAGAATGATCTAAGCTGCTATCACTCCCTGCTGAGGAGAAAAGCGGGGTATAAATGCACTAAATAAACAAATTTGAATCCAGATCACCTAAATCCTAGTCTGACAACCTAGCCCCTTCCCCCTCAGCTGTCTTTACACCTCCAGGTGCTTCAGGGTCTTGTGATTTTAGAGACCTGCAACTCTTCTAAGGATGTCCTGTCACTTGTGAAAGGAACAGCCAAGTATTATTCACTGTTAATAATATCATTAATAAATGGACATTCTTTTAAAACATACAGAAGTGAACTCGTGAGACCTCTCTGGTTGCTGTTAACATGTATTTAAAAAGAGGGGGGAAAGTGACGAGCCGTCTAGACATATACAGAGATGGTGCTCGGGTTGTTTTGTTGTTTGTGTTATTCTGCACCTGAAAACAAGCTGTATTTCAAAGCATCCTAAATGAGTGCTAAAAAGCATTCTAAAACTGTGCTCGTAAATCATGCTGAGTCTTCTGCCTTAAGCTGTGTGTTTGGAGAGCCCTGGACTAGGCAAGGGCTAGCTAAGGTCAGGAATTCATGGCTAGACAGTAGCATCTGTCTCCTCCAGTCCTTGCTTTCTGGCACACTAGATAATCACGGAAATCTCACAGGCAAGATGGGAACATTGTAGGATTATAAACTCTTTCCTTTTCCTCTGCTTCCCACCATCACCTTCACGACGCTGCAGCAAGACTGCTGTCTAGATAAGAAAGGTGTAGGGACCATGTCACTCTAGTCTTGTTCCATCTGCACTGGGTCCCTATTTGCTTCCGTGCCACTGTCACGCTGCTTTTGGCCTTTAAGATCGATTATGACTTGGTGCCTGCATTCCTTAAGCACCCCCATACTCCCATACAAATGGTCCTGACCTTACAAATCTCTGGGCTCTGGGAGCCTGCATCAACTGAAGCTAGGTGGGTGGCAACCCATGAAAGGGCATCCTCGACCATGGCACTGAAATGATGGAATTCCCTCCCAACAAAGATTTGTCTATCCGCTCTCAATCATTGTCTTCCACAAGTGGGTGAAGCCTTTTTCTGTTTCATCAAGTGTTGCCTTACTGACTGGCAGACAGACAGAGACAGACAGACAGACAGGAGGGATGGTATAGCCCAATCTTCTCAGATCTCGGAAGCTAAGCAGGGTTGGTATTTGGATGGGAGACCACCAAGGAAGACTCTGCAGAGGAAGGCAAGGGCAAACTGCCTCTGCTTCTCACTTGCCTTGAAAGCCCCATGCTGGGTTGCCATGAGTCGGCTGCAACTTGATGGCACTTCAAACACACACACAAAAGTTGGTTGTTAATTGCTCTCCACCTTGTAAAGCCCTAATTGGGTGGAAAGGTGGGATACAAATCTTGCAAATAGATACGTTCTGTCTCCTTTCCTTTCAACTGTGCCCCAATACAGAGTGGTTTTATTTCACTTTTTAAAAAGTGTACCTTGGTTGGTAGAAGTTCAGGGAAAGTAGAAATAGCATCATTGATGCACAAGGAGAAATAAGTCACATATACCAAAGAGGTCTCCACTCTTTCTCTTGTTTATCTAGCTATAATGCATTTTTGTGCATGGGATGCATCACAAATGAGAGTAAACTGCTGGGAGGAAATCCAGTGTGTAAGATAACTAATGAGCGGTCTGTTTGTTTACATATGTTAGTTGGGCTTCTTCTGACCTAACCATAGACTTGTGTCTTTTCCCAGTGATATTATTTCTATTCTTTTTTAAACTCGGAAAACTTTTAAAAATAATGCACAGGTACTTCCTGATTTGTAATGTCTTATTTAGTACATCTGTAGTCTTATGAACTCTGTTTACTAGAAACCCCTGAAAAATTGGACATTTGTATAGCTTTCCTTCTTATGGGAAGTTCAGATTGTGACTCCAAATGGTCAGGGAACTTCCAGTCCCTCCAGAAAGCTGTGAGATGCAGACATGCTTAGTTGCTAAGTCTGAAAGGGAAACATTTGCAAGAATTGTAGTCCTCCAATTCCCTGCTATTAAGGTAGTCCTATACAATCCACACAGCTGTAATTTGCCACATCTAGATCATGGCACTCTGGAATCTCATCCTACAGCTGAGAACAAGAGGTGTACTCCCAAACATTCAAGATATTTCCAGGCCACTGAAAGACCTGAAATCTGTTGCCCAAGAAATGACAATTCCTAGACGTGTCGAGTCTTAGAAATGTCTGGCAAATGCCATGGTTTTGCATCTTAAAAGTCAGAACTAGAGGCATGACATTTCTTCATGACAGAGGTAAAATTTCAGTGCAGAAAAAGCCATATTGGTAACTCCAGTCTCCAGTGCCTATTCAGGGTTATGTTTGTAGCAGCCAGAGCTCTCGGTCTGAATTTGCAGAACCCAAGTTTAATACTGTGTGTGTACAAATACAGACACTATCAATGTTCTATCCTTCCTGCAAAGAGCTTAAGACAGTGTATGTGGACCTTCTCTCCTCTATTTTATCCTCACAGCTTCCCTATAAGGTAGGTTCAGCAACATAGGCTGAAAGAGAGTAACTGGCCGAAGTTTACCCCATGAAGCTTTATGGCAGATTGAGTATCGGAACCCTGGTCTCCCCATTCTTTACTCTCCTTAGTTTACCAGACGTGTATAAACCTTCCCCCCACCCCAGCAAGCTGAGAAAATTAAAACCTACTTACTGGAAAGGCGATTGTCAATCCCAGAAGAGAGAGAAGCAGAATTACAATCTTCATGTTTCAAATTGGTACCTGTGTGAAGGAATCAGAAATCCTGTTTTGTTCTGTGTCTTTTAAGTGCGCCATTACTCACCGTGCACATTTCTATCTTAGTGCTGGATGCAACTCTTACCGTGCTGCTGTCTAGCAAATCTAGAAAGAATAATAAAATAGTTTGGGTCCCACTGTGTTGATGAAACGCTTCTGTTTGTGGCAGCGAGCTTTGTGAGATGTGACGGGCCTCCTGCATGTATTTAAACTCTCTCCTAAAGAGGCAGTCATCAGAGAAGATCCCACATGAAGTCATTTTTTGTTTCACACTGTGCCCAACATCTTATTATAAAAAAGCATCATTATGTCCCAGAGTGTCTGTGGTCACTGAGGGAAATCTCAGGTGGATGGAACGGCATCAGACAGAGAATAAAATTGAGAATGAGCTGAAGACAATTGAACTAACTTTTCTCTGGAGAAATCGTATCTCATTTTGAGATCTATGAGCTTTTCATCCAGCTTGGTCATTGGAAAAAAGCCAAATAACATAGGCCGTGTTGTGTAATGGTTAGAGGGTCGGCTAGGAGACCCAGGTTCGAATCCCCCTCTGCCATGGAGGCTTGCTGGGTGTCCTTAGGTCAGTTACTGTCTCAGCCTAACCTACCTCACAGGTTGCTTTTGTGAGGATAAAATAGAAACAGATGTGCTGTAAGCCACTTTGGGGGCCCCACTGGGGGGAAAAGCAGGTTATAAATATTGAAATTGGTCTGGCTAGGCCTTTTGAGGAAAGAAATTCTGCAACTGTAGATTGCTGAAAGGCAAAAAGTATGTGATTTTGCCCTTTTTCTGCCCCATATCTCATGCTTAGCAAAGCAAAGCTATATTGGGGGGGGGGGCTTAACCCAAATATATAGTAGATTTTGTACTTTTCTATGCTGAACTATATAGGAAAAAATCCAGAACCCCATAGGTAGAGTTAAATTTAATTCTTAGACATTATTTTCCAAGGCCTTTTTTGGGGGGGGACACCAGAAAATGTTGTGTTTGAGTCACTTAATTGTGGGACAGGGCCTTTCCCATGGTGGCACCCTGCTTATAGAGCCATCTTCTAGCAGAGACTTGCCTATCACCTTGCTTAGTTATTTTTAAATGCCAGACTGACAGTGCAATTGACTTAGATTAGACTTAACTCTGCCCAGGACTGCAGTGTCAGTCATTTCTTTTCATCCAGGTTTTTCATTTTTAACTGAAGTTTTCTTTTATGTTGGTGGTTTATTTGCCTTTTTGTTGTTTTTTTCTTTTTATGTCTACAAGCTGAAAAATGTTGACAGCATGGAATATAAAATTTTTAGCTAATATGATTGTAGTTCTTAAAAGTTTTCTGTTATAAGCTGCTTTAAACGGACCATATAACTTATCTAAAATACATCAACCTGCACATGGTCCGAAAGAATGTTGAGTGACTTTGTAAGACATTAAAAGCCAAACAGTAAACATGTACATGTGAAAGTCTTACAGAACGCAGTGGTGCTATTTGATCCAGAAGAAATAGGCTACAAATCCAATTGCTACTAGCCAATCATTCTTTGTCCTTTAGATTTTATTGCCCTTCATCAGCAAAGCTTTTTTTTAAAAAAAATATAGATAATGGTTAAATAGTTTTTCTTCTTGCCCTCTATGGATACCATTTGGAAGTTGTCTGCTCTCTCTTTCTCTCTCCCTCTATTGATCACGCTCAAAACGTGAATTTTGGAACAAGCTGCTTCTTGCATTCAAGCCACACCTAATTCTGGAATTCGGTAATTGGCCATCATACGGTAATTAATGGTCTAGTCAGGGCTAGGATGTCCTTAAGATTTTCTCTTTTTTTAGAAAAAAAAAGGTTATAATAGAGATGAATGCAGCATCAGCAAAGCAGCAAGCCCAGTTAATTATTTTGTAATAATGCAGGAGGGGGGAGATGACAGATCTAACTGGTGGTGCATAATTTTAACTTATGCAGCTTTTCTGTAGAATGCAAAGAAACTAATTTTTGCCCATCTAGGTTAAAAGAATTATAAGTAATCAGTGGCTATTCTGTAAAAGTGTGCAGTAAGCATAAATGTGATTCATACCATGCTTAGTATAAATATATATAATGGGCAGAAATAAGCCCACTCATTTGGGTCAGAAGGTGCAACTAATCCCTACTGATCTCCTAAAATAGCTGCTGGATTTGGATCACCAGTTTCATCTCTCTCTCTCTCTCTCTCTCTCTCTCTCTGACTTCCAAGAGGAGAAGATCTGCCTTTTCAATCTCTCCCCATCTCTTAGTTAGACAGCTAGATATTGCCTTTCCTATCACAGTATGGATTTATTTATTAGATTACATTTTAAACCGCCCTTCCCTTGTTGAGGCAAGGCTCAGGGCAGTGTACAACATAGTGACATCATACAATCCATAATAAAACTTTACTTAAAAAGATGACGCTAAGAATTTCAGTAGTGCCATTGCCTTGCTGGGAGGTGTCGAGTGGGAGTGCCAGAAGGATGGAACCATCGCTGTCCTCATCCAAACACCTGGCGGAACACCTCTGCCTTACAGGCCCTGCGGAACTGCATCAGGTCACACAGGGCCCAAATGTTATTCATCAGAAAGTCCCACCACGTTGGAGCCAGGGCAGAAAACGCCCCGGCTCTGGTCGAAGACAGTCAGACGTCCCTCGGGCCGAGGACCACCAGTAGATTCTGATCTGCTGAGCGCAATGCTCTTCTGGGGGTGCATTGGGAGAGGTGGTCCTGAAGACACATGGGTCCCAGACCATGAAGGGCCTTAAAGGTCAACACCAGAACTTTGAATCTGATCCAGTACTCCACTGGAAGCCAGTGCAGCTTACGCAGCATGGATTGGATATGTGTCGTGCCCAGGGTCTTTACCGATGGAGAATCTACTTACTTTTCTTAAAGCAATAAGCCTGATGTGGACTTTATTCTAAAGCAGCCTCCCCCCTTTCACTTGTGCCTAGTCACCTCCTGATCACAGTACCCCAGGCTTGCCAAGTTCCCCCTGGCCGCCAGCGGGGGAAAGAGGGTAGAGTTGCCAGATCCAGGTTGGGAAACTCCTGGAGATTTCAGGGTGGAGCCTGTGGGATGGCAGGGGCCTCAGGGGGGTGCGATACCACAGCATCCACACTCTCTGACGCATCCATTTTCTCCAGGGGAACTTATTTCTGTAGTCTGAACTGAAATTCCAGGGGATCCCAGGTCCCGCCTGGAGGCTGGCATCCCTCCTGTTCAGATCTCTTCTCTGCTGTGCCAGGGTGGACACACTAAGACCGTTAGTTCCCTGTCCTCCTTTGGTTGCTCCCCAGCATCCTGCTTTGGCCCTCTCCCTTCTCTCCCGCTGGGATGCTGCCATGACTATTTCCCCAAGTTTCTAATCTCTTCCCGTTTCCCCCTACTCACCCCCAGCCCTCTCATGCGTTAACCCACTGCTTAGTCTGTGTGAGTCAGATCAGCCCCCATTCCAAAAGGTGGCCGGGAAAGATGTGGAATAACTCTCTGTTTGAAAACCAGGCACACCTTTCAAATGGGAAACACAGAATATGTGTTGTTCAGTCGCACAGTCGAGTCCGACTCTTCGCGACCCCATGGACCAGATCACGCCACTATAGCACAGAATATAGTGTAGTCTAATACTAGAAGAGAACAGTGGATCTCTTGGACAGTGTGATTTACTAGTAATGAAGACCACCCCCTAGACTGACTATTTGTGGGGGGGGGGGAGGGGGCTTGAAAGTGGACCAGTCTGACTTTGCATAGATGATAGAATAGACTTTATTATTGAGATTTCTGATGAATACTAGAAGAGAACATTCTACCTTCAAGCACCAGCAGCAACTCAAGACATTGGCATATATTCTCATTTCTCAGCATTCGTTATGGACAAGGTTGTGTTTTGTTTGTTTTTTGCTAATCTTTCCTTGGGAGTCTGTTAATATTTACTGCCATTGCCCTTAGATCAGGTCTGTTCAGGAATCTCGCCTTCTAGGAGGTTTACCTGGCTTTCATTCTTTATTCTCACTATTTCTCATCCTTCTTGAAGAACCAGCCGCAAAAAGAGGTCGAACAGTCCAATGTCTTGTGTTTTCCCTCCCTCTGCTGGTAATACTGAGAAGTGCAGCTTCCTGCAAAAATAAAACAAAGTTAGAGTCCAGTGGCACCTTCAAGACCAAGAAAGTTTTATTCAAGATGTGAGCTTTTGTGCGCACGCACACTTCATCAGGCAATGAAGTGGAACAATGTCTGATGAAGTGTGCATGCACACAAAGGCTCACACCTTGAATAAAACTTTCTTGGTCTTAAAGGTGCCACTGGACTCTTAATTTTGTTCTATTGCTTCAGATGGCTGCCCACCTCGATCTATCTTCCTGCAAGAATGTTGATCTTTCTATCTCTCTGGATCAGTAATAATGCCAGTACAACATCTTGGTTGATAGAAAACTCACATAACAATTTTTAATTCCTGCCAGAGGAAGTCGCCCCAGAGATGCTTCTCCCTTTCTCTGTTACCCACCCTGTTTTTTGTCGTTCAGCAAAGGCTGCAGGGCTGCCCCTCTCGCCCAGGCTGGCAACCACCCATCTCCACCTCCTTCCCTCACACCCGGTGTCCCTTGAACAGAAGTGCCAGTGAAGGCACTGAGGGGGCCTTGTCCTGAACCTGGGGGCGACAGCAGCAGCAGAGACAATTCTCCTCCATGTCTCCTTAAAACAGCCATGCCCATGTCGCAATCCGGTCTCTTTCATTCCACAGTCTTGGGGGTGCCGAGATGGTAGCATGCCTTGCTGACAGCAAGATGCCTTGCTGAGTGACCCTTGACAGGGCTCTTTTTGTAGAAAAAGCCCAGCAGGAACGCATTAGCATAATAGGCCACACCCAACAGCAGGAACTCATTAGCATATTGGGCCACACCCCTGACAGCACAGCTCATTAGCACATTAGGCCGCACCCCCATGTTACCAGAAGTGTGGTTATCCAGCCACACCCACCTTTTGCTTGTTATT